CGCTGCGCGGCCCAGGTGCCCCGTTTTTGGATAATAAAAGCTAAGCAAACTCTTTGTCGCGGTCTGTCGGAGTTTAAGAGAAAAAGTTTGATGCGTGATTTGAGATGATGAAGCCGAAATCGTGAAGGAAGTTGGATCCAAATCGACGTAAAAGCACGCTGCTCTTATGTGTAAGTTGAATCGTCATTGATATTCACTGTAATTTGTATTGATGACTTTGTGATGAATATTGATGACGTGTGTTTATGCCACGTTTACAAACAATTGAAACTGTAAATATATCTCCGATTTTTCACTTACGGTCTCATTTCTTTATGGTGCTTCTGTGTACGTCACCGTTTCAGGAAAGCATTTCCGACCCCACATTGCTATATGATTTTGAGTCGTCAGGATGCCCCCTACCCCTTTTATAAGTTCTGAAACGCTCTGGGACACCCTGTAATTTTTCTGAAAACTTTTAGATGGTAATTAAAATTTTTGGGAGAAGGGATATAACATAAAAAGCCTTAACCAATATTTTTATGTTATTTCTTTATCTAAATTCTCCTTCTTAATTTATTAATCAAAATTAAACGCTTTCTCCTACTTTATTAGTGACATCCTAATTTTTATTCTATTTTTGGATTAAAGCATGAATGAGCAAAATATGAAAGTTTGGATTAAAACATGAATTAGCATTTTGAATTGTTCCCTTTACTAACTGCCCGAACTTTATTATTCCCTCGACCTATTTTATGGACCAATTGTAAATTACTAACGTTTCCCTTTTTGCATGTGACTTGAAAGTTCATTACTTGTAAGATTTTCCCTAGATTTTGAGAGAGAAGTACTTCAAATTTTGGATTATTCGATTTCTTGCTCTCATACAATGATTTCTTAGTAAAAACTCTTATTTTGCCTCGACATGCCCATTAATTTCTCCTCTGCCACGCTGCTATATATTTCTCCTAATTCGGGAATTTCTCCTAATTCCCGAATTCACAATAAATTCGGGGTTTTCTCTATCTATTAGCAACACTATAGTTATTATTCATTTTGTTAGAATGTCTTAAGTAGTAATTTAAGAACTGTTAAAAAATTGCTAATGTTTATTTAGATTCATTGTGTTAGGTTGTCTTAAGTAATAATTTATGGTGGGTATTTTATTTACGTCGCACAAGAACTGCACAGTGGGTAATAATGGTCTGGGAAACATCACTGAGGATGATCCGAAAATAAGTCATTACAAGGATACTTTCCAAATTTAGACATCCAACTGAAGGGGAAGAATATTTCCTCCAGATACCTGTACCCGCGGTACTGGACTGCGATCGATCTCAGGACTTTTGATTCCACAGATTTTACGAGCACGTACATGTACTTAGTGGAGTCAAGGATCGATCCCCTGTCCGGAGTCCGATTCTCTAACCACTGGGCTACCACGGCCCAGTTATAATTTAAGATGTGTTGAATAGTTTGTCATGCGTTAAGTATTTCAGAATAATTTTGTATATTCATTGAAATAAAAACTTAGTTATGAAGTAACTATTTAGATATATTTTTGATCCTTTCTAAAATGGCTGTATAAATTTTAAATATAAACGGTGTTATTTGGCCGTATAGTGTCATAGCAATTATTAGTGATGAAGCTTGCCTTTTTAGAGCAATAATATATATATATATATATATTGCGATACTGAAGTTATGGTTTGAGAGGTGCTTGAGGAATTAGTAGAGCACATAAGGGAGCATTACGATTAGTTTTCTATCCTATCACATGGCAGAGATGGAAATAATTTCAATACTTCAGTTGCCTACTTTGCTTAAATGTTCCAAAGTCATATTTATGGTGATTTAAAAACAACAATCATGGTGCCAAAATCACGGACATTTCTTAAAAAATAGTTAAAATGAAATCTAAGTACTTTCGTGCAGGCAACAGTTAGATGGTGAAAAAATTTGGTTAATGCATCGCTTAAAACCAATAAAGGTGTCAGGATTGGAGGAGGGGTGCCCTGCATATGGCTTGGTCACCATTAAAATTTATAAGTTGTATAGATAATTTTGAAAGGTGACCAAGCTGGTGGTCAATAAAGATTTCCTTCTTATGAGGCAACAACATGATGCATTGTTAATATTTTTATGTAAATGAAAACAATAATATGAACTTAACATAAAAATGCAAAAGAGAAATGGTGGCAAAATTTCCTCGAGCTATTAAAAATGAACAGGATAGAAAGCAATAGATAAAGGGATAGCGGGATAGGAAGCAAGGTATATGTCACTACAAGAACTATTATATTTATGCATATCCACTTTTTGCATATTTATAGGACATGATTGTCTTGATATTCGATTACCATTCTTACCAAATGTTGCCTACCCTCTGTGTGACAAAACAAACGAGCCTATGAACAAATATCACCTGTGTTATATCAAAAACTTTTCAATGCTATTGTTGCCACTGTTTCGCTGTTTAAATTTCCTTGCACAAGGCCCCAACCGTTGGAAATAAAAATATTTATGCAGAATTTTTTAATTTTGCTAGCAATTAAAAAGCCAATGATCGATTGTCAGGCATTGTATATTAGTAATCAAAATCATTACAAATCATGCTTATTAAATCACGATTAAAAAGTTTAAGTGCAAAATTTACTATTGCTTTAAGTACTAAAGAAAATATCTTTAAAGCAGAGAAAATTGTGTTTATGCGTCTGTGTGTATAAATATATTGTGCATATAAATTAACTTCGGATATATGAATTTTAAAATTGTGCAATAAGTTAAGTGCTGTTATCTATACACGATCTATATATAAAATTAAAATATTTAAAAAAAAACTTCGTTTAAAGAATTTTTTAAACCAAATGAATGCAGTTAGGTTGTAAATTTCTTGCAGTGATAGAATAATTAAAAAAAAGTTTGGATAGTAGCTCTTGAATCAACTTTGATCATCTATAGCTAATACAAAAAGATCAGACAAATAANTATATAAAATTAATATATAAAATTATCTATATATAAAATTAAAATATTTAAAAAAAAAAATTCGTTTAAAGAATTTTTCAAACCAAATGAATGCAGTTAGGTTGTAAATTTCTTGCAGTGATAGAATAATTAAAAAAAAGTTTGGATAGTAGCTCTTGAATCAACTTTGATCATCTATAGCTAATACAAAAAGATCAGACAAATAAAGTAGCATCGACAAATTTTACTGTCGGTTGAAGTGCATATGTTTTTGCTGATAAATGACTTTTTTAGAGGTGATGTTATGTATACAGTCTCACAATTAAATAATCAGACATACATTTAAATAAAAAATTAAAAGTTTATTCGATACGTACTTTTTACAAATAAAAATTTTATTTTCCAAGACAATGTTGAGGAACTTATAAAAAATATGTCCTTTTCTTTCTCAAAGACATGAGTGACTGAAGTTATTTTTTGACCAATAACCACTGTATAGCGCTGTTTACTAGAATTTACAGAAATTTAAAACTCTATGATTTCAAAATTTATCTCATCAGTAATCAAAATATTAAGTATTGTAATATATAAGTTATATATTACAATACTTAATTATTTTTTCTGCAAAGAATATTTTTTCTCATTCTTTTGTAGTTTACTTTTTACAGCAAACAAAACAAAAAATAACAGCTAACCATGTATATCTTCTCATACCAAATCCTGAAAAATACAGTATACTTACTTTTCCTTAAAACTATTCATATCTCTATAAATTTCCTTTTTTAAAAAATAATATTAACGTAATTTTCATCATTAATTCAAAATATCAACAAAAAAAAATAAGAAAGAAAGAAAAGAAAAGGAATGCTATGCTAGCTCCAGAAGATTCAGCAATACAAAGTTTATTTGCACGAGCAAAGATTTTGTTCAGTCAATCCTATTCAGTCAATCCTTGTAGTTCAGTCAATCCTATTGTTTTAATGCAGTGTGACACCATTATTTAGTTATTTTGCTAAGATCATGAAAAATAAAAATGCTTTTACTAAAAAGTTATTTTCATTTTAAATCAAAAATGTTTGTTAAGCTTTTTTAAAAATAAAAAAAAAATGTGGATTTTTAAAAAAAAATTAATTTAAAAAACAAATTAAAGGTATTAAATAAGGTTTGGAATTCAGTTCACTGAATTTTTCTAAAGACAGATTTCAGTCCTCAGTGCTGAAAAGTGGCACCCATGCTCAAAGATGGTCATTTTTTTCATACACATAAAACGAGACAATTTTCACGATTAATCACTACAACAAGTGTTAATAATTTACTAAAATACAAGACAGACTTTACAATTTATACACAAACACATGCGGTATCCGTTTTAATGATCCCATAGACAAATGTGATTAGAGGTAGTTTTCATGTAAGAAACAAATACACAGGTAAAAAACATTGCATGTGATAGTTATAGATAACTTTTATAAAAATACACTTATCTTTTCACAAAAGTAGGAAAATACTTTGCAATTAATACACAAGACAGTTTCCACAACTAGAAACTTATACACAAATATAAAATTTTTCAGAGGCATATTAACGAGCACATTGTATTCAATAACAATGTCATAGGGAAATAATGTTATTGAAGAATTTTATCTTTTCTTTTATGAGAAATTTTTTTCACAAACATAAGTTTTCTGTTTAATACACAAATATGAAATTTGTCTCTTGTAATGTTAATTCTACTGATATCTTTTTTTCCAAAATTGGGGGACAACTTTTTTTACAGATAGTAATTGAAGATAATTTTCAAATTTAAATATAGCTACACCAAAAAACTGTTGGAAATTGACAATTTTGGGAACCTCTATGAAAATTGTTTTTTTTTAATCCCAGAAATAAAAAAACAATATTTGGCAGATAAAATATGAGAAAATTTTCCCAATTAGAAAATATATAAAATTTTAACAAATATAAATTTTTCTGTGGCTACGTTCATATAAAAAAGTTTTTTCTTACTATTACTGGAGATAAATAGTAAAATATACAAAAAATTGTAAATATAATATATTAAGTATAATATATATAGATAATAATACATAATAGATGTAATATATATATGATAAAAATATTTAATATAATATAAATGGACAATTTTCACATTCCACACGGATAGCAGAAGACACTTCTACGCGGATATAAGACAATCATCTCAGGCACTGTATTGATAATAATTAAACTGAAATTATTTTTCCACATTGATGGATTTTTTTTGTAATACACGAGATAATTTACAAAGTTATAAACATGTAAAAAAAATATTATCTGCAACAATGTTGAATGACCTTCATGTATTGTATAACTTCAGGTATATTTTTTTCTTTTTCACAAAAGTAATAAAATAGTTTACAGATGATGCATGGAACAGTTATCTCTATCACATTTTAAATATTTACACACAAATACAAAAAAAAAAAAAATTATATGTCAGTGTTAGTGATCTCACAAAAAATATTAATACTTTTTTTTGAGAGAGAGGAAACAAAATTTTTTTCCCTTACATAATAGCTCTTACACAGAAAGGCAAAATAAGACTATGACAGTGTTGATGAAAATAACTTATTTTTTTTATGCGTAGGTGAAAGACTTTTTCACAAGTAACACATGAGGTAGTCTTCACATTGAAACACACATGCACTTAGGAGAAGTTACAGGCAATGTTGAATAATAAACTTAATCACACTGCAAACAGTTTTGCCTTTTTTTAATCACAGAAGTATATTTTTAGCTGAACATAACTTATTTGGACAGTTTTTACAGTTACATGGACGGACAAATAATTTTCAGCAGGCAGTGTTCAAGGTTGGGCTATAAAAAATATTTAATTTCTGATTAAGTTTGGCAATTTCTGCTACAGGTAATCCCAAAGCCAGGTTAAATAATTTCCCAAATTAAACGTATTTAAAATTTTTCTCAGAGTTGAAGGCTCAGGATGTTCTGAGGGTGGAGCAGTACATTCCCACCATCCTTCTTGATATCCTTCATGAACATGATCCAACAACACTTTACGTCGCCTTTCACAGTATCTAGTAACAAGAGACACATAATAAACACAACACGTACTAAAACAATTCAAAACATACTAAATTCACATAAAAATATGTTAATGTGTTCATAACAAGTAATTAAATATTTTTCTGTATCCCAGGGAAGTGAAGAATATATACAATACAAATCAACAATTGTATACAAGTTATTGTTTACAAGGTATTCACCATTACCATACAACATTCAGTTGATGTTTTATTTATAGGAAAATATATATTTTAACCCTTTTGTAAAATGAATTAGTTTGGCTAACTAAGCAATTAATTAAAATAAAAATCATGAGCTGACTGAAACATATTTAAGTTAACCTAATATTTACATTCAAATTTTATAGAATCAAAGCGAAAAAAAAAGTGTCAGCAAAAGATTAGACTCACCAAAACAATTTAGGAGCAATGGTTAAGAATTAAAATTTATTCATGTTTGATGTTATTTAATTTTAATAGTTGAACAAATTTATTTTTTACTGTAGTAGTTAATGTTAAAATGATATTAAATGGTAATATGTACAATTTCTTATACATTTATATTTGATATCAAGTAATAGTTGAACAAATTCATTTTTATTTTTAATTGAAAAATATAAATTACTCAATTGCAAAAAATATTTTTAATAGTACACTCATCATCAAGGTAGTGCATATTTTTTCACAAGTTTAAGTTAGAAATTTATAGTTGAATAAATTCATTTTAATTTTAAAACACAAATTAAAAATTATTTAATTGTAGTTAGTATTAATAATAGTACATACATTATAAATGTTATGTTAGTATGAATTTCTTCTCATAAGTTATTGTTAAACAATAATAGAGGAATAAATTCATTTTAATTTTAAAATACACCGTATAAGTTTTGTCAAGTGCAATTATTAAAGGTAGAAAGTTTATTAATAGAAAAGTCATAAAAAATAATATGTACTATTTTTTACAGATTTATGTTATTAGATATAAATATAAAGTATACTTTTACATTACTTAGCAGTTATATAAATAATTTTAAATTTAAAATATGAACGATAACTCTTTTTGAATTTTATTTAAAATGTGATATATCAAAGCACATTTTAGGTTGTAAACTGTTCAATGACAATCTTTCATATTTTATGTAAAATTTGAAGGCAAGTATGAAGATTTATGAATGGGAAAAAAATTAAAAGTAAACGTTATCTTAGACAATTTCCATGTAAGGAACTATGTCCTAAACAATATTTCCTGCAATATTTTCTTGCACTTAAATAAAATGTAGTCAGTTTTTTTAAAAATAGAATATTTTTTAAGTGGTTTTAAAATTTAGCAATTTCAGTATCATAAAAAAATATTTTTCCCTAAAATGGAAAAAAAAAGTTTTAAAAAAGAAAGTGAAATGAAATTTTATTTTAATTTTTTTTATCTTAATTTTTTACTATTTATGTTTTAAGTTAAATAAATCTTTGCTTTAAGTTTTGACGCTCAAACAATGGCTTATTTTAATTTTTCATGTCAAAAAACTTTTGAAAGACACACTGAAAAACAATGTTAAAAAATTTACTCGTGTTTGTCTCGAACTTTTTGCACAATGTCTAAGACATTTTCTTTTGTTACATCTCTTTCCAAGTATTTAGACAACAACTCTGTTGCTCTCTCCAAATCTCTTTGGTTGTGCTGACAGGGAAAAAAAGTGCAATTTAGAATTCTCTTATAATTTAAGAGAAATTGACTTGTATACAAGCATTTTGGTAGCATTAAAATAAAAAATAAACATATCAGATTTGAAAAAACTAAGAATAAAAATATTATTATTATTAAACCTTTTACAAGTGTTTTTTTTTTCAAATAAGGATTTTTTGATAACAATTCAAAGAGATTTTCAGCAAATTAAGTCAGATGGTTTTTGGTATAGAATGTGAATAAATCAGTACAATAAAAATTCAATACCAAAAATACAAAAACAAATTCCAAGCAAGCTTTACCTATATTTTTTTCTATAGGCAAGGTTAGGTACAGGTTTCACAGGGCAAAATGATTTGTGCCTCTTCCTCAAACAGCAAAAAGTCTTTCTTTCACATTTCGTAGAATTTATGCATACCTGTCATTCAAAAGTGTAGTTTTTATATAAATATATCCAAATTCTCAGCAATTTCCTTTTAAAAAAAGTAATAAATTTTTTTTAAAGCAATTTTGACTGGGTGCTCAGCAGATTTGGACCCTGGGACAATCGTCCCTGTCTTTCTTCCCTCGAGTAAGGTTGTTTGTAAATTTATAACTTATCTGAGAAAAAAAGACTTGACTACTATTTTCCTTCTATTGTTAATGCTATGAAAACTAAAATAGAATTTCAAAAAACTGATAAAACAAAATTTATTTTTGAATATTTTTTGCAATATGTAGCTTTCCATATGAAGATGTCAAACATATAAAAACCTCAATTTTGAATTTTCTGTCGCTTACGTCGATTTTTCAATTGCACAGAAGCAGACACCTATGCAAAAATTGCTGTCTAAGTAAACACTAAACAAAATAAGCTAGCCTACACAATTTTTTTACATTATTACAAAAGTTCTTTCCAATTAATTTACAGCTAGAAGGTGAGAGGCTGCAGATTGATCAATGGAAAGTAACAGATCGTGTGACACAACTTGCAGTAAAACAAAAAAAATCTACTAATCCAATAAAATAAAATGTATGAATCCAGATAAATGCATGAATTTAGTGAAATAAAAATCCAGTATCAGGTTTTAGGAAGTAAATCTGTAGCACAACTTCATAAATAAAAAGCTGCCTACAACTCAAGACAATTGTAAAAATAAGGCTTGCCCAAATATATGTATAACGAAATCTGAATTAGTAAATGTAAGGTCAATAAGGCTAAAAGGTAAAAATAAGAATTGCCCAAATAACGAAATCTAAATTAGTAAATTTAAGGTCGATAAAAATTAGACATAAGTGTACATTGTGCAAACTTCATTTCTAACAAACAAACATTTTCAGGGTTCTCACTCAATTTCAGGAAAACAATTTCTTGACTTTTCCAAGTAAATCAGGAAAATTTCAATAAAAAATTTTATCTCATTATTTATTTATTTGGTATCAGCTTTTTAATCTCTATGTTAGCAACCTATACATATGTGAACAAAGGTTATTATATGCACACAAAAATTATGCTTAAAAAAATGTAATTAAACAGAAACAAATTAAGCAGTTAAAATTAAATTCTAACTAACTCAATAAATACAATCAGTTTAACTAAACCACACCAGTTAAATGATTTTACTGTTTATTTTTAATACAAATAGCCTTATCCAAAGATATATATAGCAAAATTTGAATTCACGATCATAAGATAGATACGAATTACACACAAAGATGTATGTTGCTTAAATTTAGGTTAAAATAAATGAAATAAAATACTTAAAATGGAAGATGGAATAGAATCTAAGTTAAAATATCCAAATAACTAAACAGAAAAATTAATACAGATTAAATTAATTTGAAAATTAGTACAATTCACTATGTTCAGTTATTTCAAGTTGCACAGTTTTAGGAAGAAAAAAAAAAGATTACGCTGCGTATGCAGATCAGATTATTACGTCAAATATATTGCCGAGTATCCTATAATAATTCTATTTTATTCTGAAAGGATCATTCAGGAATTCTTTCAAATATCTTTTGCAGACAAATTTCTGCATTACTGCAGAGTTTTTTTGCAAACAAATTACTGTGCTATCCCTACAGAAATGGTTCTTTCTGGAAGGTAGGTACTTTATTTGCTTCGCACTAGAGCTGCACAATGGGCTATTGGAGACGGTCTGGGAAACATCCCAAAGGATGATCCAAAGACATGTCATCACAGTTTTGATCTTCACCAGAGGGGACGACATGCCCACTTTGATAGCTCGCCGACCTACATGTGAAGTAGAGCACTTTACGAACAGTTTAATAAGGATCGATACCGCACATCCTTGGTCCCATCGCAGTTAGTGATGTTCTACTGATAAACTTCTACTTCTCTTCCTGTAACCTTAACTTGTGTTTTAGTGGCTATGTTATCTATGTGCTATGCTACAGCAGACCCTGTCTCACCAGAACTCAATTTTTAAAAAAATCTGAGATGAAAAATAATCTGCAAATGCTATAACAAAATCACTTTTATGTTCTTGCAGACTGTGCAATGATAACAGAGCAAAAATTGTTCTAAAAGCAAAAATTAATTTTACATTTTTTATACATAAGCAATATCATGTATCTACTGTGCAATAGCAAAATCAATGTAAGTGTCACAAAATACAAAACTGAGATTTTAATACATATGGCAATATTGTATGATAAGTAAAATCTAGTTATATAGCATTTATTAAAATAATTTTTTTATCAGTTATCAGAAATTCTACTTTAGCATTAATAGTATGAACAATGGAAAAAAAATAGTTGTCAAACTGCTTTTCTGGAAATTTATTGTGAAGCACTTACGTTGTTTTTTCAACTGCACGTTAGATATAGACAAATAATAATAAAAAAATCAAGTTTTCCTTTTTAAGTTAATACACATGTAACTGATAAAAATATGTAGATGTCAGATATCACAATCATGCCCAACATTTTGAATTTGCAAACCATAAAAATGAACTTTCAATGCAAAGATTTATTTTTCTTAGGCAGTATCGAGGAAAATTTCTGTTGTAAGCCATATTTTTAACAAAGCCCTAAGGTTAAAAGAATTAAATTAATAAGATTAAGAGCTTGTTAATCAATGCAAGACTATTAATTATGTTAAAAGTATTTAGTGATTGAAATGTTATTAATTATTTTTAAAATAATAATGAGTGCACAAAGAATGAAATTTTTTTATTGTATCCATATATATACTCAAACACTGGTCTTAAAATAGGGTTTTATGACAGACAGTTGAATTTACAAGCCAGAAGAGGAATCTAGTTAAATTCTCAATTTGATTTTTGTGCTGAAATATGGCTTTTGATGAAATAAAAGCGAAAAATGGCAAATATAAATGTAGTAAATAGTTATCAGAGAAACATACCTCATCATCGAATTCGGCTATTTTTGTTCGATGACAAATACTAATGCAATTTTTTATAAATGTATATCCTTTTCAATATATTATTTTCAGAATTTTTTTTATTTTTTTTTAAACTTTGATTCTCTTTAAATTAAACCTTTAAATTAAACAGTTTTAGGAAAATAACAGATATATGAAATGAATATTGTATAATAGATATAAATTTAATTACGGGATTACAAAATGGTAACTGGTCAAAAAATGTTCTAACTCTTGGAACCCATGTGACCCTTCTGTGAAACAGTAATCAGGAACTGCACCATTCAGGGAGTCAATGACTAGATTAAAGTCATACAATTTTGAGACTAACAGCATGATAGGGCAATGTGATCAACAGTGAGCATGAACACTAGTCATCTTTCCTAGACAAGCAGATACCCACACATCTGAAGCTTCGAGTCTTCACCTAAAAAAAAACTGCAATCAATGACACTTCGGTCCTCTTACCCTTGAGCCATCACAAATCTGTGATATATTTTAGAATTTTAAATTTTACTAATGCTAAAAATTAGCTAACACATTTTTAAAACTTATTAATGCTGCATAATTTTTCCTGTACAGTTTTCATATAACCTTTAATTAAACACAAAAAAGTCTTAGTCATATATTACAATTCTGATTTTAATTTTCGGATACAAATAAATCAACTATTAAATTATACAAATTTGAGCAAGCATAAAAATAACATAACTGAAGTAACTTTCTAAAAGTTGAATTAATATAAAATTTTATAAAAATATCTAAAAATAAAGAAAATAAGAACATAAAATTAGTAGGCACATTATACACAAAATATTACAAATTTTTTGCTACATGCATGACAATCTTTTAAAACAGAATTAAGTATTGCATAACACTTACTGAAAGACATTCTGATATACTTATTTTCTATTTTATTTTCTGAATGAAAAATTAGTTGACACAAACCTTTCAAAGAGTTTCTGTTTGTCCCACTCAAAGTGATTTAATAAAATTCTGGCAATCGCAGTAGGAATCTATAAAAAATTGTAGTGATAAATAAATAGTCAAATATAAAAATAATTATTCAAATAATAAAGTTATAACGGATCATTTTTGTATATTTTCGCATCATTTTATTGAACCATTCTTTTTTTAGTTTATACTATTTATTTAGACCTACTTCCTTTCAAAGTTTATTTATTTATTAATGGTTGAATTAATGTCAACAATAACAAGCATCCTAAAACCAGATGAAATATAGAAAACTTTCAGTGTATCCCTCCGCTTATGTAATGTTTATGAGATGATAAGTGAACAGGCTTGATAACCTAGGAAGTTTTATTGTGATTTGTGTTTAGATTTAAGCCCAAATTTACCAATCATAAGAGTTTTCTGTAATTTAAAAGTCCTAAAAGGACGTGAACTGTAAATAAATGTGAGAAAATTAATATCACAACATAAGTAAAAGGAAATGTTTGCCAAGTTTTGAGTGTGATCCCCTTATTAGCTATATGTGTGTAAAATATTACCATATGCTATTTTTTTGGTAGCAAGCTTGCAGAGTCTTCTAAATTTGCTCACTTAATCAAAAGTTTAATTTAAAGAATGCATAATATTATAAATACTACAGGTATAATAATATTGAATGGCTTCCTTTTTCAAACTTAGGAGAAAAAAATAAATCAGAAGTAATAAGCTGGAAGTCTTATGACAAATTTTAGCTCCCCTAGCACCACCCATCATTGCATCAAAAACCTTTTTTAAATAAGTTTTGGCAACAGTGAGACAGCAAAATGGGGGATATATCCATATTGTGATCTGTCGCCCCAACTACAATCGCCAAGGTGTCAAATCGATTTTGAACTTGCAAATTTTAAAAAAAAACAAAAAAACATGTAGATGTTTGCTCGGGGTTGGCTACGAGTTATACAATTTGAGTAGGTCCCTTTCTGTGATGTTTTCTTTTTAGTTTCTAGCGGGCCGCTGCCCGGAAGTTGCCAAGACTTGGCAAATATCCTGCCACAGATCACGTTACGGAAATCTCCCCGCAAAATGCTTAAAAGATGTTTTCTATTCTTTATCATTTTTCTAAAAAAAAAAAAGTTGCAAAATTAGGTAAAACTCATAGTCATCTTGTAGTCTACTAGACATATTTCTTAAGAATCAATTCTAAGAAGAAGAACTGACAGTTTCTCTTTGCGCCCTGGTCATTTTAGAAACGTGATTAATAATTGAAGTTTCATAGCATAATCAGCTGTACTTTTCAAGAGCAATAAAATAAAAAATAAAAATTAATAGGAAGATAGTAATTAGTAACTAGGATCTGTGGCGATAGTTTTTTCTTGCCAGTACAATCACCAGGAAAATAATTGTTCATTTTCAGCTTGCGCTATTAAGTTTTCTGGTATAAAATTGCAAACACTTTTTTTGACATCCTTAGTCTTTTTTTATTAAATTCGTTTTCGATAGTTATATTCGAATTTTAGGGGTCGAAGGTTTCGTACACATCTTTCTTCCCACAAGAATAATATTTGAATATAAAAAAAATTGCGTATACAAAAATTTTACCTGGAAGACAGTGTTAACTTCTAGTATACATTCAATCATATGTTGCATTATTTGCTCAGTTGATAAAACAACATACTGAAACTTTTCAGATTCATCTTCATGTTCAGATGTCGAATCATTATCTGAGCCAATATCACAGAACTCATTAAAATTAGAGTCCATGTTATAACAATTTAAATGATAATTCGACGCGACAAACCTTTGAACTGTTATTTGGATTTTGTGCATATGGAACCTATTAAAGCTTTATGTTTGGCGAATGAAACCCAGCTTTTAGCTTCCCTAAATTGATCAGTTTCCTGAGCCATTCTCACTAACTGCGGTTCACGCAAATTCGATAGCCGTTGATGCAGATTAAGAGTCTAATTGGTGAAATATATTCCCCCGCGAGAAACTTACCAATCAGGCTCTCTTTTTCTCTTGACGGCAATACAAAAATCTAATAAGCGGAGATATTAAATTTATTTAAATAATTGAAAAATTTTAGCTTGATCTTTTTGTTCAAAAACTATGTCTTTTTGAGAACATGCTTCATGTTTGCAAAATGTCATTTTTATTTTAAGCACAAATACTGTATTATTTTTTTTGAAGGTACCCTTCATTCACGTCTCAAAATACTGTATTTAGCCTTCTTTGTATTTGTAATGAATTTTAAAACTTTATACGATAGATGAGTAAACGTTTTCTTAGCTCTAGTAACATTGTGTTTTAACGTGGCAATAATCTTTGCACTTAAAAAACCTCCCCCCCCCCGCCCTAAATGAAATTGTTTTATACACCAATGCATGATAACTCAATTTATGAAAAAAATCTATATACGTTCTTCTACTCTGGAAGTTATGCTTTTAATTGATGGAGAAGTAGTTTTATAGTTATAAAATTCGCATAAATCTTACTAGAAGACCGTGCTTTTGGCAAGCAAAATTCTGGTGGCCAAGACTGTACATGAAGGCAGCTATTGCTCAACACAGTGCAGTCGCAAGACTATATGAGAATAAAAAATATTATTTTTTACATCAAATTTTCTGTGATTAAGATCTAAAGAAAAAAAAAACACTGTTGGAAATCAAAATTTTATTAAATTGTTGCATTTAGATAATAGCCATTAATCTAGATACTTTTCGTTCTTGTAATTTTTTATTGTTTTAAACAATCAATCACGAAGTACGATAACAAAAATTAAATACAATTCAATAAATTGAGTATATTATTAATGTAATTAAAATATAAAAAATTATAAATTAAAGAAGACACAACAGCCCACTTTTTCAAATACTCTTTGTTTTTTTATATATATAAACTGGTAGCAAAATTTATGCTTTAATAATTTATTCATTTGATGCTATATATAAAATATTTGAAAAAAGGAATAATAAAAATAGCACATATAAAAGCCTTGAAAATAAATCGAGTACAATTGTTAGTGTTGATGAAAAGTGAACGAATTCTCCTTACAAATGATAATTCAATAGTTAGTTCTTTTTCACTACAAAAGATTCTTATAAGAAATTGTAAAAGTTGACAGCTATGCAGAAGGTGAAAATAAATTTTAAGCAAATGAAAATTTTTACGACACAATTTCGTTCTTTCATACAAGATAACATATAATCAAAGCAGGTAATCAATTGTTTACAACTATAAAAGTTACAGTAGATGCTTAACGACGAAATCGGAAGAGTATAGACACAACTACAAAGGATTCTATCTAATAGCAGCAAATATTATGCATTATTAGTTTTTTCTTGAATAAATAATTTCGAATTGAAAATAAAATGACCACCAATATTTATAAATAAATTGTATTTATAAATAAATTGCCTTTATAGATTAATAACGTTGATGAAATTTGATTCATTTCTACAGGATGTTTCACAATCACAGTTCTAATCATAAGAGATTTTCTAAATTTTTGGTCTAGAATACAATAAAAAAAAACGTTCTCATAAGAGGCCACAAATAAATATTTAAGATAGGAAAAAAAAAAGAAGAAAAAACCTTAATGAAAGTTGAGAAATATTTATTGAAAATAATGGTTTAAAAAAAATAAATATGAAAACCAGTTTGATTGCAGGAAAAACGAGTAGGTATTTCCATTAATAACTTTCTCAAATGTGTTTTGCTTCCTCCCCGGAAGTAATACAGGTTTTGATGTTTAAGTACAGTGTATGAGTTTCTAATGGGAAAAAACGCCAGTTCACTATAGAACGACTTTTTTTTTAGATTGATACAAAATGAGTGCCTCCAGTTCAGTTATTAGATCGTCAAATTTTGATCGTATCAGTTTATGACCCGAAATCAGCTTATTTTTTTCAAACATAATTCCAAAAGTTCAAATCAAGATAGTGTTTACCATGCATCCTGAATTTAAAAATATTTCTTTTTTTTTCACAATCACTAAAGTAAACATGTTGCTAAGAAAAGAAATTTAAATAAATAAATATATACAAAAATAAATAAATAAATAAATAAAATAAAAACGTGAATGTCGAAGAGTTTCTTGAAGTCTTCCTCTTTGGCAAGTTTAAATAGCATTTTTTAGTTAGTTGTCCTTTTTGATTCTTTTCTTGATAGGGTAATAAAGCACTAAGCAAAGTGATTCGCAGAAATCAAACACTGAAACTAAACTCAATCCTAGCCACATTCCCATGTATCCTCCGATGTAGCTGAAAAGTTCCACCTCCTGTAAAATACAAGAAAAATAAATCACTGGCGATGTGTCCATTACCATTTTGTGAGGTTTTATGCACAGTTACTCATTGCCCTTATTATTTAACAGACGGTTAAAGCAATGAAAAATTAAAAGAACGCAAACTCATGTTTTGCCGATGTTTTTTTTCGAAGGCGGGCTACTTATCGTTATGTTTTTCCTTGTCACCAAGCCGAAAGTTAAAATAATCCTTGTTGTTTTGAATAGTCTACTTTTTCCAGAACAAGCTGGAATGAAATGATTTTCTTACCGGTTTTTTGCCCAGATTTTACTGCTTTGAACTGGACATGTAGATTTTTGTTTTCCATAGTAACTTTCGAGGACGGGCCATGAAGGTTACTGATTTCGTTATTGTATCTTCCGAGGAAGGACCATATAGATTCCCGTTTTTCCATTGTAACCTTCTAGAATGGAATAGTAGTAGATTTCCATTGTAACTTCCTAGGACGGGCTACGTAGATTACGTACGTGGTTACTTAATTTTGCTTCAATTTTTTGAACCCTGCTGAAGCTTTTCATTTTATGTACATTGTTATTATTTTTCTTTCTGGTACCATTACTTATAATCCTATCAGAGTAGCAATGATCTAAATTTCTTTTTGTTTAAGTGATAGCAAAAATTGAAAAACATACATTTATATTAAATTATTTGTATTTATAAAAATAAATTTCACCTTAAAGTGAACATATTTGAGTGCAAAAATTATTTTAGGAACGATTTTTTAATGCTCAAGAGAAGATGAAGAAGCTAATTACTACAAGTTTATAAGCATGCGTGCCTTTTTTTGGGGGTTTTACGAGAGAGTTTAGCTTTATATTAAATGTGGTAGTAAAACTTTCTGCTCTCTTGCTTGATTCCTGTTTCAACAAATTTGATTTGATGTGCTTTGAATTACCTTTACATTTAATTAGTTTAAACATACATGAAGAGGACTAACTAGAGTGTTTCAACTGATGGCGAAAAGTTAATAAAGTATTAGCCTACAATTTCACTCCAATAGTTAGTTTACTAGCAGAGGGCAAAAGTTTTTTTGAAACTCGTAAAAGTTGGCAGTAATGTTTATATCTTAAATCATCAACTTGTAGAGTTCGCTAGATCAAACCGGCGGATCGGAATATCGAACCTGCGACCTCTCATCCTGATATTCTTTCTGCTGTCAGAAATTAACTGCAACTGACTGCAGGATACTAATGTCGTAATTATTCATCGCACATTTTCTCCAGTATATACATGCATCTGTGAAACCACAAAACTACTACTATGTTATACTCTATTTTGAATTTTAATTTATTTTTAAGTTAGTCACGCAGCTTTTGTGACTCTATCATTTTCCCAGAAAATAAATGTGTTTATTTTTATCTTTTGATTGTTTTAATGTTGTCTTTGGTTCCGTAAAAATGTAGGAACGCTATTCCTCGTTCCCACATAATGGTGACCCGGTGAATTACTACAGTTGACCGAAGAAAGATAGTAGCAGCATATAGAATACAGTGGTTTCCAGTCATCGGATAATTTTATCTACTAAAGTGACTTTTTATGGTTTATCTCATCCCGGAGGAAGAGTAACTTTAGACCTCTTCAAGAAGAGATTCGTATGGAAATCCATGACCAAAGACATAAAGCTTTGGTACAAGACTTGTCTCTCATGCCAAAAATCTAAAGTTGGACGTCACACGAAATCCCCTCTAGGAGAATATGGACTTCCTAATGCCAGATTTTCACATGTTCATATAGACATTGTGGGTCCTCTACCACCGTCAAGAGATTACAGGTACATACTTACATGTATTGACCGTTTTTCTAGGTGGCCTGAAGCATTTCCAATGCAGAATCAGACAGCTGACACAGTTGCAGAAACGTTCTTTGCTGGTTGGATAGCCAGATTTGGCGTCCTGGAGACTGTCACAGCTGATCAAGGTCGTCAGTTTGAATCTGAACTTTTTTCTTCCTTGACTAAGTTTCTGGGAACACAGAAAACCAGGACGGTAGCTTATAATCCAAAGTGTAATGGAGCAATTGAAAGGTTCCATAGAAGCCTGAAAAATGCAATTAAATGCCACCTAACTGAGCGCTGGATGGAAGTTTTACCAACAGTTTTGTTGGGCATTCGCTCAAGTTTAAAGGAGGATATTGATTGTACACCAGTTGAAATGGTGTATGGTTGTTCGATACGCCTTCCAGGTGAATTTTTTCGCAACTCTTTTTCTAAACCTGTAACATCTCATTCTGATTTTTTACAGAAACTTCGTGAAAAAATGAGAGACTTGCGCCCTGTTCCTCTGAATACTCGTGGTGCCACACGTCCAATCTTCATCAGTAAAGATCTGCAGTCTTGTAGCCATGTTTTTGTCAGGATAGACAGTGTCCGACATCCTTTGGAACAGCCCTATAAAGGCCCATTTAAAGTAATTTCACGAGCTAACAAATTTTTTGTTCTAGATCTTGAAGGACAGAAATCTAGTGTTTCTATCGACAGATTAAAGCCTGCCTATTTTCT